GTTCATAGACTGCATCGAAGGCACTTCGTGGCGAGTTGCAAAAGAAATGCTCGAGTCATGCGTTACGCTCGAGTAACCCTTCCTCTCAGTGACGGTGAGAGTATGACTAACGATGGCGGCATATTGGCGTGGTTGCGGTCATAGTAGTGAAAACGGAAACTTCCAGTTAGCTCTGCGCGTGTCGGGCTGACCGCTGTCTGACTCGTTTGATTCCCCATCGTTTTGTACGCCTGACTGCGCCCCTGGTCCCAGCTGCCTCTCGCGGCAGCGTCTTCGCACGTTGGACTAAGAGGTCCGCGGCGACTGCCGGGGCTGCGGGGAGAAAGTGCTCTCGGTCCTTTCACCTGGCCGCGGCAGACGCACTGGCTGCCGGACCGAACCGGCCTGGCCGCACGGCAGGACTCCCGCGCGGCTCACCAGCTGTGAGCGGATCCCCGACACTGCTGAACTTCTGCGGCGGCGGCCGCAGCTTCGATGCCATTGTTACGTCTGCACCTGCAAATGGTGCAACGATGTTTCTTACCGCAAAAAAAGGCCAGAAAGACACAATAGGAGGAGCCTTTGCATGATCTCTAGCATATTTCAAAATACCGGGTGTCGCAACTTTTAAAGTCGTACCAGATACAAAAAAAAAGGTTTTCGCGTCGGCTGCGATCCATAAAGTGTGAATGTTGATTTTAAAATCGCTGTCAAGGCAACCGGTCTTTCACGCAGTATTTGCTTCACGAGGGCGGAAAGTCGTCTCGTCCCGATCAAAGTACGAGACGTCGTTGCTCGCGTTGTATGCATCGCTCTCATGAGTTATGAACAGAGTCCAGCGGTATAGACTCAGGCTTGTGAGTCTGCGACGTATATCGCGTCGAGTCCGCCACGTTGCGCTGAATCATGTGAGTGGAGCTCAGGGCCGTATGCATTGGCTCCGGCCGGAACCGCCGGTCAGCTACACCACGGTCACGAGACATGACTTGCTCCCTCGTACACAGAGTCCTTGGTCGGTCGTCCGTTTTCGCTGAGAACTGGACCTGCCAGGAACTAATTATAACCACAGGTGTTGTTCTCGATATCACTCTTTTGGTCCAATATCGGCCGCCTTTACCGAGTGTTGTTTTCCGCGAGTTGTCGACACGCTGCCGTTTTTCGCCGCATCGTTCGGAGCTGCGGTCTTCCTCGCCGCTCGGGGAACTACGGGAGCGGAGAAGCGGTCCCTGCCACCGCCGCTCCCACACGTCTCGGCGGCCAGCCCGGGCGAGCGGCTGGGACCGGGCCGGCACCTCCCACGCCCGGCAGTGGAGGGAGGGGGGGGGGGAGGAGAGCGCTCTCACTCCACCTGCCTGATCTCGGACCGCCGCAGGTCCGTCTCGTGACCGTTATGATGAAACGGCAGACCGGACGGTCCACGACCGAGAAACACGCCGGCGTGATATAAAGGTTATGTTTTAATCTTTGATACGCTTGTTTGTATTACGGAATCCGCATCAACTATTTGTCTTTTGTTAACATTTTTAGATTCAAGAAGTCTAACGGCGTTTTAATATATTTGTTGTGCCGATATTAATTTATCTTATGATGATACAACGTCGCAGTAGCCCACTGGCCTCAAGATCAAACACATGACACAAACCACAGTCCACACAATGCCCGGCAGAGACGGTTGTCTGTGTAGCGAATGGCGTAGTAGTTACCAGACGACCACTCCTCTACTATGGCCAACGAGCTGCACCCGAGTGGGCAGTAGGTACAACCCGGCCGGACCGGCCTCTGTAGCGTGACCACCCGGCGGGGACCTCCACTGCGCCGTATACGCCTGGCTGACGGGATCGGCATGGAACGCGAGCGGCCGACGGGCGACGAGCCCCCTGTGAGGCCACTCAGCCACCGGCGCCGCTGCCGGAGCTGCTTTCCATATTCTGGGAGTAAGAACACAGCTGGCGGTGGCGAGTGACGGGCCTTAGTTGTTGTGGTAGCGGTGGCTGATTGTTGTATTGAGAGGGCGACCTTCACTGAGAGTTCCGGGACCCGACACGTGCGAGAGGCGATACACACTACGTGGGGGGGGGGGGGGGCTGCAGGCCGGCAGCGTCAGCACAGGTTTGGAATGTCACCATTATGTGGCAAGTAGAGCACGACTGCTTACATATAAATGTTAGTACTTGACCGCATATTGGGGCAGTGAGGTCCTGCAAAGGACGTCACGTTCTCACGTGATGCATGCCAGCCACTGAATGTCAGCCCCACGCGGCCAAATTTGGGATCGCTCGCTGAGCAAATGTAAGGGAGCCTGCGATGTCGCGCAAAAGGCTGCAAAGGCCTCATCGCGACGCAGATCGGTCTGTTGACATGATGACATTGGATGATCGTATAGACAACGTCTTTCGGGCTGATCTCACAACTCACAATGTGCGCAAATAGGGATCGTGGATCTGCGTGCGTGAATGAATGATGATCAGAAATGTTTTGTCTCCTATGATTGCTATGAATCACCATCGTCGTAACAAGTGAATCAGAATCTGTCCGCACCCATCCGCTGTAGTGGCTGCATACAGTCTTCGCTGGATCATCGGTGCGGTTCATGATGCGGAAGGAAAGGACTCAGCACATCATAACACAGGTTAACGAGTTTACCCTGCTACGAACTGAACCAGGAAAGAGGAAACTGTTTCAGGATCTGAGGTACACACACTGGGGCCTGTTGTACGTCTCTCGGGAGACTATTCTTGGGAGAGGGAGCCTGGCCACCTACACTTTCCCGGTCATCTGAGTGCCCTATCTGTGACGCCATCTGGCGCGTGCCCGGAGAGAAATGGAACAGGTGACGCCGCACCCAGACACACAGGCTGTACGACTTCACCGTCACGGGACACAAATTAATTTGAATTAGCTTGATTTCTTTTCACTGAGCTGTAACGGTAAGATAGAGTGGCCTGTAGGGGAGAGTGGGGTAAGATGCCCAGGGTGGGAAAGACGCCCCACCCCCTCTAGCGGGGAAACAAAGAATCGAACCTGGAAATTAATGTTCTTAGCGTAAAGCAGAAGCCTGCCTTGTTAACTGCACAAAAATTTGCGAAGCTCAGTTGGGCAACGGCTGGCTGGTGATTGCATGTTTTTTATTTGCTGCTTTCAAAAAATATTTTGGCGTCAAAACATTGTAAATATCAAAAAAGGTAGATAATTTTTGCGTCCTTTGCTATAGTCGTGATACATTAACATGCGTGTACTGTGTCCCAAACAGTTTGTTTCAGGGTGTAGTTTTATGGCTAACAAATTGTGCTGATTTAATGTTACTTCGGTACCTTGGGGTAAGATGCCCCCTGTCCTGATGGGGAAAGACGCCCCCTAAATCCGTAGGCTGTCCCTCAAGCAGCCCGTCAAATCATGTATTACATACTTGTGATGAGAAACAAAAGCCGATCTGGGACTATTGAGAGTCCGGTACGGTCGGGTGCTCCCCATGCCGGTCTCTCGGCCCACACAGCGACTTTTTGGGCGGCATCTGACGCTGAGAGCCCTCACGACGGCCTCTGTGGGCCCCATTATTGGTTCTATGGCCCCTCACGACATCCTTTGAGGGCTCCCACGTTGGCTCCACGGGCCGCGCTGGCATCTGAGGTCCCCACGATGGGCTCGAGGACCCTCAAGCATCATGAAGACCTATAAGGGCCCCACAGTGGTCTCCGAACGCCACCACGGAGGTTTGTTTGGCCACGCTGGACTATGATGGCCCTAACGATGACATCTGAAGCCCCTTACGACTACTTTTGAGGGCCCTTACGATGACGTTTGGTGTCTACTGCAGGCTCGAAGGGACTACTGATTCGTTCAGGCGATTCACGTGCCTATTTATGTCACTTTTAGTGCAGGGGGCATCTTACCCAGCGCCAGGGGGCGTCTTTTCCACCCTGTGGGGTAAGATGCCCCCTTTCACTTCTTCAGGAAAATGTTTGATAGCAAAAAAAGTTATCATATTTCAGGCACGAAAGTGTGATATTTTTGGAGAAAAATGATGTCGGCTTCCGTTGAAACTCCAAGTTTTGGCTTTCCGATCGTCATTTTCGAATAATATATGACATAGTCAAACCCTGGGCATCTTTCCCCACTCTCCCCTATAGAGCTCCAACCAAGCATGATACGGGTATGACGTTCAAAGTGCCATGTCGATACTCGAAAGTCACGGTTCCCAGCCGGCGGTTGGTGGTCGTGGGTGTTTGTCACGCCGAACTGCCGCACGTAGCTGGTCTTGTTGCGTCAGCAGACAACAGACATGTGCCGAAATGGGCGCCTTGATCCGTGATCTGCCCCGAGCTCTGACCCGCCCCGACCTCGTCCCACGCTGCGCCGGCCTCACCCTGACCTGACCTGACCACTTCTGCAACGCAACGAACAAGTAGTAAGAAGTCATGTAAGTTGCACACAGTTCATCTTAGTTCATCAGGGTCAGAAGCCAGCCTTGCAACCAACCTTACTCTGGCGTCGCTGACCTGCAGTGCACCCAGAGACCCACCCTCTTCCCTACCTCTCACTTCTGCCCAGCCCCTGCACCTCGTACCATTGAAATGGATATGCTCAAGGAACATTTAACACAATCAGTAGTGCAAAAGGGTGGTTCCTGCTGCTGCGCGCTCGACTGCACATTCTCTGTGACTCACCACAGCCTGTGGGCCTTGGGACGTGACGCGACGGCTCGTGGTCGGCCCGTGTCGCCGTGACGGCACGCGAACGGGCCGTCACGCCCTGTGACGCGTCCACCGTGTTTATTGTGTTTTATCAAAGTGTGGTACGAATAAACACCAAATGGCAGTGTGATAAAACACATGCGATATTATTTCAGTTATTTGCGTGCTTTTCCAGACCGCCCAATGTATAGACCCTTGCTAGTGTGTATTCAGCTAACTTGGCAGGACAGTCTGATTTCCGTCTTTGGGCATACCGAAGCGACAACTTCGACTCTAACGACAGCCCGCCCGTGCCGCCATCTAACCCCCGTCCCTCTCTCTCCCCGACAGGCGGTTTCACCGAGAGGTGCACGAGGAGCAGGTGGAGATGTCGGGCGGCTCGCGCTGCTGCTTCTCGCTGCTGACCCTCCTGGCCGAGGTACTGCTCTTCGGCAGCGTGGCGCTGGTGGTCGCCTGGTGCCTCAAGTACCGCGGCGGCTTCGCCTGGACCGAGGACCCCAACCTGCAGTTCAACCTGCACCCCGTGCTCATGGTGTCCGGATTCATCTTCTTCGCTGGACATGGTGAGAAGAGTTGGGGTTCCGGCAGACAGATGTGCGCGTGCCGCTAAAAACGGTGCCAGGACTTTGATGAATACACGACTTCGTCGATGTGATGCTCATTGCCTGATTAATCCTCAATCGGTAGCTCCGACATAATTTAAGTTTTGTAAGTTATGAGACGTAACTCGACTTCTTTTTTAACATTTGTTTGGGGTGTTTTGCACGGGAATCGACAAAGGCACTAAGAGCCGGTAGAGCTTGCCAGGCAGGCCGTCATCTCCAGTCTCCACGTTATGGTCGGATATTCCGGACAGAGACGGGCCAAGTTTGTCGGTCAATTGGCCGGTGCCCAATGCCCAAAGCCCATAGCAAAACCGTCTGGCTGCTGACCAATTGCTGGCTATTCACATATCCCACCAGCTGTAGGCGGACCCTCCCGTTTGTCTCATCCACCAGTCTGTTGCTTTACAGCCGTACGCTCACATGGGTTTCCGTTTTTTTCCCAGCAATGCTGACGTACCGGCAGTGGCGCTGCTGTAACCACTCGACCATCAAGCTGGTGCACACGCTCTACCACATCATGGCCATCCCGTGCATCGCCGTCGGCCTCATCGCCGTCTTCGACTTCCACAACAACAAGAAGCCGACGCCGATCCCGAACCTGTACTCGCTTCACTCGTGGATGGGTCTGGTCACCGTCGGCCTCTATGGACTGCAGGTACTTCCGGCGGTAAATATACCGTGCTTTCTGACTTTTTAGAAGTAAGAATTACGGTATTTTGTACGGGGACGGTTGTCAAGTTTCATACTTACTGTAGGATGAATCTAGTCACGCTCATTTTTCGTACCTATGAACGCTAATCTCATAAATATGTCCAACAATTGCAAAACTGTGGGCAAAGGACATGGATGACGGACAGCTCCTTCGCAACACACCGTATTCTCCTCTGGTTGCGTGCCCTTGCACCATCCTAGTTCTACTTCAGGTCACTCTTGCACCTATGCGCGCCCTCTTCCTCCCCCACTCACACGAGCGGCCGGCCGCCGGTCGCACCGCCCCAAATTATCCAATGGACGGGGGGTGACGCCAGATGCCAGCCACGCGGCCCCTGTGCAATTGCTCGTCGCCCGGGGGAAGGCCAGGCGAGTCGTTGGACCGACTCGTTCATCATAATCGTCGACCGGACGCCGCAACTGGCGCAATGGGTGCCACTGACAGCCCCGGCTGCCATGTCGGAGAGAGAAAGAGGGAGAGAGAGAGGGAGATGGGGAGGAGACGGAAAGAGACGGAGAGAGGAGAGGGATCAGCGAATGTTGAGTCATGAAGAGACACAACCGTTCTGTGCTTCTATCCTCAGGATACTGAAGTCCTTCTCCTCCACGCCGCAACGCCCCTCAGGGCTGGACAGGCAACTTTATCTCATGCGGGCTGCTCCCTTGGAGCGGCACCGCTGCTCCCGAGGGAGCGCACCCCGTAGCCGGATGCAGTGAGTGCCTTGGGGCTGGGTGGCCTGCCCTCTGGACGGGCTCAGCCCCGGCGACTCACTAGGGTGCCTGCCCAGATTAATGTCTCCCCCTATATCCTATCATCCTTCCGGCTCTGAAATGGTCTCATTGGACCGAAAGGGCCCAACCCAACAAACAAATCATGAAGAGAAATGTCAGCTAACTACGAGTGAAGCAAAACAAGAAGCTGACTAAAAACCTCAGTACGGCGTCCTCTAAATTAGCTACCCCTCACAACAGTTACTAAAGAGACATACTTCAGTTTGTCATAACAATGGCCATAAAACACGAGTCAAAACACCGCGCCATCGGCGCCGACGTAAGACTGGGAATAGGGCGGCCCATTGTGTTTGATAACACCGTGATTCATTGCTGTTGGCGACGCCGTGGTTAGCTTCGGAATAGAGGGTTGCTGATGGCGATATGAGTGAATGAATGGGGGAGCTGGCGACAAATTGTTTGAGAACTGAAGTCATTGACTGTTGTGGGCCAACTGCTGCAGCTGCTGTGCTGAGCGCAACTAACCGTCCTCTATGAGGCATCATTTAAACTTCGATGCCTGAGTCAGGCATCGAAGTTTAAATGATGCCAGCCTGAGACTAATGGTTGTGCCAGGATGCCAGGGAGTAGTTTTGATGAACTAAGCCCCATATGAAGCTTCACTGTCAGTTCAGTGGGCATTCAGAGGGTTGAGATGTCAGTATGACACACACAAACAAGCTGACTAATCCCGTCACTGGGCACTGATCTGAAATTCTGCTCGTGGATACACCACACCACTGCTCTGCCGCTTCCAGTATTCCTTCCCTGTCCCGCTACTCAGCCTCTGAGGGCTCGCTCATTTCCGTGTTCCTTGACTCGGCAATCTTCCTGTCAGGCGCCTTTGACTTACCATCACAAATGGGCTAGTCAGGAGCAGCTTTTATCTACCACAAGTCCATTGAAGTTGTCGAAGTCCGGTCCGTCATCAGGTCGTAACTCGCTTCCGTTATGTACGTTTGTCGCTATGCTCCGTTCCGTTCCGCCTGTGTTGCGTTACGTTGCGTTCCGTTTGTGTGACACAGTGCTCCGTTCCGTTTCAGTTCATCGTCGGGTTCTTCTCGTTCCTGTTCCTGCTCTGCTGCGACACGGCCACGGCCTCGTTCCGCGCCGCGCTGGTGCCCGTGCACAGCAGCTTCGGCATCACCACCTTCTTCCTGGCTGTGGCCACCTGCCTCACCGGGCTCACAGAGAAGGTCCTCTTCACCATTAGGTGAGTGGAGGCGCGCGGTGTGTAACAGTATGGAACAGGAGGTAAATGTGTTAGGTTCGAACTGGCGTGCAGTGTGTGAGTGCTTTGGGTGAGAGGTGAATGCTCGGTGCTAAAAATGAGTGCTCAGTGCGTAACAATGCTGAGTGATTTCATACGTAGGTAGCATGTGACACTATGGCACGGGATGTTAAGGTGTCATACAGAAGGTATGGTTGGGACAGGATGCGGATGGCGGTGAAAATGAAACGTTTCGTCTGCAGTGGCCAGGTGAGCCGGAACTACCGAGGGTTACTATTTAGTATCGGCGAGTCTAGTATTCGGTGCACTATAATGGGCGACACAAAGTGATAGTGAAGGTGAATTGCCTTTCAGCGTCCCTCGTTTCGCCTCGTCTTTTGATCATCGCTCCATGTAATTGGCTTCATTAGATCTCCTTTGATGACTTCATAGCGCTAATGTTTATCCTCATGGAAGCACTCTAGCAGAGCAGGAAGCGTTTACCCGATTTTCCTCATTGGCCTGTCTGTATTTTGTACGTCTTGTGGTGCCTCTGTTGTACTCCCTGTGCTAACATATCGTTTTATCTGTCACACGCACTGGCAGAGGAGTGTCTCACATGCTGCATGAAATCTCCCATTTCTATGCTGTGTTTTGTTGAAACCTCACGTCTGACTGCCCTCGCAGAGTGCAGTTCTGCCTGCAGCCGCTGACACGTCAGCGGGTTCCCTCTGCGCGCCGGCCGAGGAGTGTTGTTTATTTATAGTGGTGACTAACTGCTGCCCGCTGGACCCGCTGTTTAGTGTGGTGACAGCTGGGGCCAGCAGGGCCATGGCGGCCGCAGCGGGGGCGCCATGGGATAGGATCGTGTCTGCTTTCTCAAGGATACCCCGGTACTCCTACATGGTCCTATTACGGTGGTGGTACGTACTACGTACATTGTACGCGTCCAGTGCCGATTTGTTTCTTACCTGTATTTTGTTAGATCTTCTGCTCACTATCTCGCTCACTTGAGTAGCTACAGGGTTAGTTAGCTGAAAGTCGGTATGCGCGCCGCTTACCCGTTATAGTGTTGTGGTGTGAACTGAACATGCGTTTGACTGTTATGTATAAACAAAAACCTGTTGACGTTCAAGATAAGCTCCAAAATGCGCTGGTTGTGATATGATGATGATGAATTGGGGTTTTTGGGTGCGCTGGGTTACTCCCTTATTTCACAGTGCTGAGTCTGCGGTGACTTTTGTTGTGGTGAACGGCGACGGCTTTCGAACTGATGCAGGTAATAGCCTAACGCATATATGGTTGTGGTTCTGGTCAAGTTACAGATGCGATGTGGGAGCTACAAAGGCGTTGGCTTCAAAGGTAGCTTCACAACGGCGCATCTAGTCCCCTCCCCAGTTTCCAGGTCATGTCCATCTTCAGCGGCACCCTGCCATCATCTAACGTTTACCATTTTCTCCCAGCCTCTCCCCTGGTTTCGCAGGTTTGTCCTGCAGCAGAGCAGACCAGCTCCCGTACCACCCCTGCGCGCGCTGTCGGCGGCTCTGACACACTGCGCACCGTTCCAGGGATACGTACCAGAGTCTGGGCGAGGAGCCGATCGTTGTCAACGTGTTCGCAATGTGTCTGGTGCTGGTGGCCATCGTCATGTCGGTGCTACTGCTGCTCGACCGGTTCCGGCAGAACACGGAGCGCCTCATCCTCGTCAGCAGGCAGCACGAGGCCTGAGCCCGTCTCAGTGACGTCATTGGGCGTCAGTGTGACGTAAATGGGCGTCAATATGACGTCAGTGTGGCGTGATGTCGCTGAAGAGCGGCGGAGTGAAACGAATACTGAGTGGGACGTCGTGGGAGAAGTGTAATGCTATTGAAGAAGAGAAGCCTGTAGTGGTGTCGATGAATAGTGGGATGTTCCGAAGTGTTATGCGATGATGGAAGGCGCGTGTAAGGTCAAAATCTAGCAGCATCTGTCTGGCGAAATGGTGGGATATAATGAGATTATGGACGTTATAAAGACAACGTAGGGTGATCGGTGCGGAGTTGCTCCCGATACCCCAAATATGTGCGGGTAGACCTACCTGAGCGAAGCATTTGGATCTGAGTGATGCTGGAGATAATTCGTATCATTGAAACGCATAAATATCGGCGTTCTTGCAAACCATGCTATTTACGTTAGTGGAAACGTCGACTTCAACGCCCGACCGCGGCGAAGATGATTGTTAGAAGTGGGTGGATTTTAGTGTTGCGAAGAGCTCGCAGTGAATATACAGCTTGTTGGAGGCACCTCGCGGCCTGGAAGACTGGACCGCTGTACAAAGACACCGACTAACATCGACGTCTTACTCAACACTGACCCTGACCGAACAGCTGTTCACTGTTGCCAGCTTTGCTTTTAACAGGTGCCGGAGTAGGGGGAGCATCTCCGGTGGTGTTGTCGCTTTGACCCCCGACCCGCGCTGCCCCGGTGGCTGTCCGCCGACTACTCGCTTCTGTAACCGCCGCTAGCTGTCCGGCGTTCCGCGCCTCCCGACCCCTCGCTTTGCCTGGCGCTGCGATCGCTTGGTGGCGGCTCACACTCTCCCGCTCGGCTCGCCCGCAGGGACACCTACTCGTCCATGCCGGACGAGGGCCTGGTGGTGAACGCGCTCGGCTGCACGCTGGTGGCCGCCCTGGTGGTGATCTCGGTCATCACGTCGCAGAACGTGTTCAGACAGAGCCGCGCGCACGGCGGCATCGCCACCGAGCTCTGACCGGCGCCCGGTGACACCGAACGGCAGTATGAGCGGCAGTGGCGACACCTCTGCCGGCGCGGCGCTGAACGGTCACAGGGCTCCGAGGGACCGGTGCAGCGGGACCGCGCCCGGCCGGCGGGGCCCGGCCGGGAGCATTGTGGCGAGGTGGTTTGGTGCACACAGCTGCCGCGTGTGGCTCGCTCCAAAGGCAGAGCGTTCGTCATTTAGCTGCCGTTGTGCATGTATAAACTTCATTTTAACGCTCTTGCCAGCAAGTGAGAATCACGACCGTCACGCGTTACTCGAAAGGAAAATGTCTTCCATATATATCATTATCATGAACTAAGATCTGATGCTCTCGATTGTAGGTTGAAAGCTGATGCTGTATTATCTGCCGAGCCCGTGTCATTTATATCGGGAACTATACGATCGGCGCAGTTCGGTCGAATGAATGGATACTTGCAGACTTTTTTCTTCCGGAATCGCCTTACCTACTTAGTATTGAGTATTGAGCGGTAGGTATAGCACCACGGCCGGCGCGGCGGTGTTTTGGTTTAATTCTGTGCAGCATTGTAGCGCAGACGATGGTGTGTTACGTCGCCAAGGCTGAGAGCTAAGGCGCCGAGTGTTGAGAGAGGTGTTTGGCGTGGCGTAGCGGGGTGTATTACATGGACCAGTGTCTTGTTCGAGCGGGTCATTGCGGTTGGTTGAGAGAACGTGTGTATGTGGATGGCCTGTGTCAGCCTCTATAAGACAAACCTGGCAAGACGCGAGTGTCAGACAATGTCGCTTGTTAAAACCTCATTCCAGGCGAATATGGCAGTTCGGTCAGATGCGTTTAGATGGTAGACTAGTTACTGGATAAGTGAAAAAAAAAAACGGGGCCGTTTACGGCTCCTGAATATGAATGAATACACGATAAGTCGAATTCTTGTGTCTTCGAAAATATTGCACGTGTCGTGTCGACGTGGCGATGGGAGTTTGGGCACCGGTCTCACGGATGATTCGTACCGATCTGCTCATGTCCCCCCCCCCTCATTGGAGTCTGAGCGCACACCAAAGCAGTCCACAGTCATATAAACACAAATGATGCGTGTATTGTCCGGTGGCAGATGTTGCTCAACCATACATCCACACGTGAACTTAAGAAGAATGCTGCGTTAATCGGACTCCCAGTGAACGCTGCAGAATTCACGGGCGAGAATGACATGTGGACGAGTAAATCACCTGTACACAAATCCCTCAATCACACAAAACTTCTACGCAGTTTTTCAACAGTCATCGCGATACCTCGTGACCACTCTTTGTACACGCTCTGGGGGCATGTAGCCCAACAAACACATGTGGCGCTAGTCGCTCGCTTCGACACCCATCTAAGGCGGCAGTGAGCGGTTGTCTGGGGCTCGATATAGTTATGGTTAGGTACCGTAAGGCATAACACAAACAACGACTCGCAAGAAAAGAAGCGGGGTGATAGCATCACGCGAAAGCAGCCCAAGACCCTCTGAATGATCGCGCGCGATATGTGATCACGCGTCAGCGCCACATCCCCGGGGTAACAAAAGAAGGTGCTCATCAGGCTCTATGCTAAATGCAGAAAACAGACAACTTGATCCAATCACACGCATTGCATAACATCGCATTCTACAGCACAGACCACTAGTCCGAATCAGAGCTGTCCTCCTGTTGCTGCTCTTCCTCTTCCTCTTCTTCCTCGAACTCCTCCCAGCGGCGTCTCTTGCCGCCGCGGCTGCGGCGCGGCACGGCCGTCCTCTTCTTGGGGGGCCTGCCGCGTGGCCGCTTCTGCCGCGGCTGCTCCACCTCCTGGTCGCTAACTGCCGCATCATCGTGGACGAAGCTGTAGCGCGTGGCCATCGGGGACATGAAGTGACCAGCGCCCGTCGGCGACGCGCTGACGGTCTCCTCGACCGTTTCGAAGTCGATCGGAATCATGTCAGTGGACCGGTGCCGCGAGGCCCGCCGCTCAGCCAGCCGGGCGTCGTGGCCGTAGTGACTGGCGCAGTACTCGCACGCCACCTCGCCGGTAATGTTGTCCATCCGCACCTTCATGTAGCCAGTGCAGAGCACGAGACGGCGCGGCAGCGGCGCATCACCCGGCGCTCTCTTCAGCGAGTTGAGTCCGGAGCGGTGGCACGTGAAATATTGCGTAACCACGGGATCGGACGGATCCGACGACGCCACCGTCTTGTAACACAAGTACTTTGCACAAGTGCGCTTCTCGAGGCTGCGCTTCCAACGCGTGAAGTCTTTCATGGATGTGAAACCAGCCGTGTCGATGTGCATGGCGAAACCATGACGCTGACGCAGATGACTGCGCAGGAATCCGACACTGGTGGTTGTGAAGCGACACCCATCTTCGCCGCAGACGCGCTGCCACACATCCCGTGAGCCGGCACTCTCGTCGATGGCCTCGTCAGAGTTGTCCAAAGGCAGCTCGTCGCCAGCGGTGTCTTCAGCTGTCATCGCGCCATCGTCGTACGAGCTGATCAGTTCCGCGTTCCAGGCGAGATTCGAAGACTCCGTCACCTTCCCCAACGACCGACTGACCGCCTTGCCCACTAGCGGATCGTACCGCTTTGCTTTGGGTGGCTTCATGCCCATGTACTTCTCGAAGATGCGATTGATCTCGAATTCAGTGACACGCTGCTTGCGACTCGGCGTACCTTGAAGCCTGCCTTCTTCTCGCATTCGTTTCAGCACGTCCTGGATACTGAGACCTGCGCGCAGCATGCCACCGATTTCGGCTTCGTCAGCGTCGCTCAACCGACCAAACGATGGGTCCATCTCATGTCCGTAGTGGTTGGGACAGAAGCTCACTCTGACAGATGCCGAGCTCGAAGCCACCTCAGCCTTTAAGAACGCTGGACATCGCCAAACCATGTCATCCTTCAGGAGATCCACCTGCCACGGCAGCGAACGTTTCTTACCATTTTCCTTGTAGGTTGGCAGGTTGGCCATGACCCGAGAGCAGCCAAAGTAACGCACTTCGAATGTGCCACTCTTTCGCTTGCTTTTCACGTTCGAGCGTTGCATAAAATATGCGTTGGTCGAGAGCTCAAGCGTCTTTTTCCACTCTTGGAAGTCATGCTCGTTGTTGAAGACCACTTCACGCACCGCCAAATCGAAGTTGTGCTCCGCGATAAGGTGAGAACGAAGCCGCGGGACTCGGTGGTACGTGAATGTGCATCCTTCCTCGAAACAGCTGAACTTGTGCTTCTTTCTCCTGTCCGCGGCCGTCCGAGGAGGCTGGTAGTTCTCGGCTCCAGGTTCGTGGAAGGCGCGAGAGTGACGCTTCAGAGACGCATAACTGAGGAAAAGCCGCTCACACTCTTCACACTCGTGCAAATCGAGACGATCCAGTTCCGAGAAGCTCAGTGGGTTGTGGGTAGTAGCCAGATGGTTGAGCCATGCTGCCTTCTCAAAGAAGAGGTCGCGGGTGCGTTGACACGGCTTGGCCATCTCCTTACATTCGGCGCACAGGTAGGCATGCTTGTACTTCTTCACTTGCTCTTGTCGCTTATCAACGTTCTCATCAGGCCCGTAGGTGCCGTCACTTCGCTTGTGGTCGCGACGGATGTGCGCAGCAATCGAATTCCTGCTGCTGCCGCGCATCTGGCACACGCTACAGGCAAAATCCATGCGGGTGGGCTGGGAGCCAGTGTCAGGGTGTTCCTGTAGAGCTTCTTCGGCGGCTACAGTCTCCTCCTCAGCGGCCGCCTCTGGCACGTCCTCAGCGGCTGCCTCTGGCACGTCCTCAGAGTCCTCCAACGAATGGGCCAAGCGCGGTTGGCAAGTGACAGGGTCCAGCTCGAGCACGGCCGGTGTCTTGGAAGTGATCCGCTCCGACTCCGCCAATATGTGAGTGACCGCCGTCGCCGCCTCAGAATCCTTGCCTTCAGCGTTGGGTGTAACGCTTGCGGTATCGCCGTTGGCACCGCCGTCAGGCGCAAGTTTCTTCATCACATTCTCCAAACGTCGAGTCGCACTTCGGTTGTATGGTTTCGAGTGGCGTGGCCTTTTAAGCTTGCGCACCATCACTGTCTTAAAGAGCAGTGTTTCACCGACCTTCACCAGTGGAAGCACTCGACATTGCTGAAAGTGTTCAACCATTTTGGCATGCTCTTTGCACGTGAACGAGCAAGGGTCGTTGGCGCACTGGTACAGAATCTCCGTGTCCTGCACAACGCGAGGGCCGCCCTTCTGAGTGACTACTTTGGCGTTGATCGGCATCGTCATATGCATAAAGGCCTGGCGAGCCTCGTGCACGGGCAAGTCACGTTCGTTGAAGAAGAGGCGCGGACACTTAGAGCAAGAGAACAGCTCCCACTCACCAGCTTTGCCATCACAAAGCAGTAGCTCCTTATGATCGGTCTCGAAGTGAGTGTTCCAGACATTTCCATCCAGGAAACGCAATCCGTCGGCATTCTGCACCAGCTGCGAACAGCGACTGCACTCAAGCGTTTTTGTTGGCGTACACGCGTCAACATCAGCCTGATCCACAGGGCCTAGCATCGTGTCATGCAGCTTGGTTTTGTGCGCCTCGAGAGTGTGTGGATTCAAGAAGAGGCGGGGGCAGTGCGGGCACGGATGCATCACGATCCTCACGCCAACGCATCTCGTCAGGTGCACGTGCACTTCGTTGACGTGGCGCTCCCACACATCGCGACGCACAAACAGCCCGTTTGACCGGGGACAAGACTCCATCAGTTTAGAGCAGTCGGAACACTCGCGCTGCTCAAGCAAGTTCGGCTTTGTCACTTCTGTGCTCATTGGCGGATCCGACTGGACAGTAGCGGGCGGTGGGTCGGGCCGTTCATCGCGTCCACTTTCGTTGCTGTGTACTTCACGTGCGTGCCGCTCAAATGACGGATCGTCAGGGAACATGCCACCACACTTGCTGCACTTGAACACGACATTGGTCACACGATTTGGAGCACCAGACCGGGCAGCGAACACTTTGATTTGTGCTCGTCGTGCGGCGGCCTTGTCCATAACCACTGCCGGCGTCGTGCGCGATACAAGGGAGGCTTTCATCAGTGAGTCGACGATCACCCGCGACCGCGCTTTTGCGGGCAGCGATTTGGGTGTGATTTCAGCTGAGGTCAGTTTCACCAGCTCACGCTCCTCCTCTCGCTGCTTCCGTTGCATTTCAATTTCGGGATCTTTTCCGTCATGCGAAATCACATTGTGATGTAAACGCGTGGCCTTACTGAAAAACACGAGACCACACCGGTGGCAGGGACGCAGCTCCAACTGTTTCCTGGGGGTCACCTTCTCTGTCGCGCCATGTGACTGGTAGAAGTGGTTCATCCACTCAGAGAGGTTCATGTAGATGTCGCGCAGACGTACCGACGGCTGGAACAACGAAGCACATTGCACACATTCGTGTGTCGACCACAACGTGTCCCGGCGGACGTCCGCGTTCTGCGTCGTAACATCCCGTGGAGTTTGGTGCTTGGCATTGATGTGCGCTTTCACCACCTCAACACTCGGAAACTTGGCGTCGCATAACCCGCATGCGTATAGCGTGACCTCACGGACCGGCTTTTTCGTTAGCGATGAGGCAGACTTATTTGAGACAACTGTAGGCAACTGGGGGCCGTGCTTGTCGGCGATGTGCTGAATCATGAGATCCTTGTCCATTGACTTGAAGTCACAGGAGCGGCAGGCGAAAAGAGGGCCAAGAGTGGCAGCCTTGGAGCTGCTGGCAGTAGTAACACTGGGGCTGGCTGCCGAAACAGTTGACACTCTGGGTTTGGTGGGGGCGAAGGCTAAGCGAGAGGTCGTAGGAAGAGGCCCAGTTTTGGTCTCTAAGCCACCTGTCCGCTGATCGGCAGACATGTTACCCAACTTTGCGGTCGTCTGGCCCCTCAGAACTTTTGACGCCTGGGTTTCGGTGTCTACCGG